CCAGAATTTTTTTGTTTTGTTTTAAAATGCAGGATTGAAAAGGCCAGAGAATGCTTCCTGTCTCCTTTTTCCTTCATTTCTTCCATGACATACTGCTCTTTTTGTTCCCAGTAGATCTGCCATTTTAATAACTTCAAATCTCTTAAATGTTTTCACATATTATTTGTTCCTATCTCTGAAGCATGAGTTTTCCATTTTTCATTTTGACAAGGGCCACCCTCCAAAATAAAGGCTTGAAATTCTATTGAATTGACTATTAATTCAAGGCACTGTTTAAGAAATGAGTTTCATATTAGGAATCTGGAGAAGGATGGCAAACTAGATTATAATTAAATCTGTGTTCCTACTTGTGCATTATTATGAATATATGTTGGAAAAGACCTGAGAGATATATGTATATACCAGGAAATAGAAACCAAAAAATGGAACAATTACATCTGGGCATACTAATCCAATGCACTAGCAAAGTATCTTAAAAATGTGGTAAAACGAATTAGTTCTAAAGATATAACAGTTGTATCTTACATCTTTTAAAACTGCATTTGGCACACTATTTTAAAATCTAACATCAGAAAAATCTTTCCACCTGTAATGTTCTCCCAGTTACAATAGAAAGACTCATAGACTTATTTTAGGATATATTTGTTAAAAATGTAAGTTCTTATTTTTTTACTGACAGGAGTAAAGAAGAAAATTAATAATTATTTTCATTTGTAAAATTGTACCATATCACATAATCTTTAGGATTGTCCAAGTTCTTTATTGTATAGAAACTTCAAGAATTGATTACATTTTTAACTAAGTGAGTCATCAACTAGGGCATTTATTCTCTATAGGTAATTTTTGTTTCAGCAGGCTTTTTATTTTTTGATTTTGCAGTGACCTAATTTGTCTTTTATAAATAAGTCAGACAGGCACATAACCCATGGCCCAATTGTGGATGGAGGCTCATTTCCAGGCAGGTAGGTATGGTGATTATTATCATGACATGAAAAGAAACATAGAATGGAATCTAAAAACATTTAAGATGTTTGGCTCTGATACCAGATAAGTTGGATAAACAAACCCCTGCCAATTGATAGTTTTTTTCTTTGTAATTTATCAAAGTCATAATGTCAAATCTGAAAATTGCACATTTATCTTATAAAGTTCACCTATTGTGTATCATATTTAATCACGAGTGGGAGAATCTTTGCATTTATGGTATGCATAGACCTCTCTCATTGAAAACATATAATTTGGCATTAAATGATCATTAATATTTTGCTTTTTAATTTCGGTCAGGACTGAGTATACCTGTAAATGAACAGTTCAGATTCTCTATGTGTGCCACAAAGCATACACACAGAGAAAAATATTTTAAGTTTAGGCATGAATCAAGAACATGTACTTTTTCCAGTATTTGAAATGCTTTCCCCTACACATTTCCATCTTTAGGATTTTAAAGTTGTAATTAAAATATGTACAGGATTTATCTTTCCTATCTAGTGTATATTATAGCACAGAACTACACATTTAGTACACATTTATTCAGTCTTTTCCCATTTTTATGGCTTTGTTTGAGCTGTTCTCTTTTCATAGAATGCCCTCTCCCACATTTGAATGTCAAGGTCTACCCTTCCAAGAGTGGACAGCTTTGAGACCAGTGGAACAGTACGAGGCTTGTGGTAAAGCAGAAAAACATGATGCTTTGTATTTAACTATGGTTAAGTCCAAATCCTTCAATTTTCTAGTTAGCAGACTTCCTACCTTCTCTATGCTTCCATTTTCCTATGTGTAAAATGGGGATTTTATATTTCCTTTTAGAATTTTGATGTGGGTTAATTGATATATCTAAAAGATCAAATATCTCAAGCCCTTTCCTTTCCTTCCAAATGCCACCTTCTCCACAGAAATTTCTCTGGGTTCCACCCCTCTCTGCCAACTATACCAAATAATGATAATCTCATTTTATCTTCCTTTGAATTCCCATAGCACTTCACTTGTCCCTGAAAGACTTCACTGACCATTTTATACATTATGTTACACTCATTAAGCAAATATTTATTGAATGTCTACTGTATGCCAGGCTTATAAACATATATTTTTTTCATTTTATTTTCCTTTTATAGTCCTTAAACTTCTTGAAGTTAGAGTCTTTATAATACTCATATTCCCTCTTTCCTCTCCATTGTCTAGTAATGTGTAGCACTAGTGCTTGAACAAGAATGTATTAATACTTGATAATATTTGGTAAAACTTACTAATATATAATGCAGGCAATATTTGTGTATTCATTTTTATATGTGTTTGCATCCTCAAATAGGATTACATGTTGGAAATGGTGCTGATATGACAGTGCATGGGATTATCCTCATCCTCAGTATTAAATAATAATGATGATAATAAAGTAAAAAACAACATTCCTGGGAATATACACAAAGGAGAATATTCTGTTCTCTTTCCCACGTGAGTCCTTGGAGTAGTTCCTGCTAGAGCAAACATGGTTTCCAAAGAGAGGAGGTGAGTGAACAAATGAGCTGTAGCTATGTCTCTATGGAATTACATTAGCACAAATCTAAGCAGGTTTTCAAAGAACTATGGTTTATAAATAAAGGCTCTCTCATATATACAATACTATGGCTAGATGAAATTCTAAGGTTTCAGGGGAAATTACACAATTTCAAAATGAGGCTATGTGTACACAACACCAAGCCATCCAAATGAAAACTTGAGCAAATCACTTAGGAATGTGGTCTTTGCTAGCCCAGACATTTCTAGTCGTTACTGGAAATATGTAATGTGGTTCTGACACTATTTTACTACTCATGGATGAACTGCACTATAGTGAAGTCTCACTTTAATTTGCTGCTCCTAATCAACCGCAGTCTAGGAAACCAGAAAGCTAAATTGGTTAGAATTGTGTTTAAAGAAAGAGTGACTAGGCTCTGATTTAAGTTCAACGAGAGTATCCAACAAGTGGAATTCGATATTTAATATAAGTGCTTAAATGTATAGCTGTTATATTTTGAGTTCTCCTTCCGAAATGGATCTCTATAAACTTACCATGTCACACAAGCAATTTTGTTAGATCATCTCTTCTCCCATATTACAGTGTCTTTTGAGAAAGAAAATATAAGACTTTCTAAATAGGCTCCTGAGGAGTTTTCCTGTGGCAACAGTCCTAGTTGCTGCAGATCATGCAAGGCGTTAAATAGAAATAGACCCATGAACAGCCTGTCCACGTGGCTCAGGAGTCCGGAAGTCTCAGGAGATTTTTGGCTCTGGACCTTTTCCATGGCCACCACTTACTACCGTGGAGCTCTACAGGCATTGCCAGTGGCTTTTCAGTTCACTTGGCATGAGGTACTAGGTGACAGAGTTCCTGAACAGGTCCTAAGTGCAAAGGGACTCAGATTGGAGATGTGCCCCTCTTCTCTAGATGTACAACCTGTCCTTGGCTGATGCTGACAAAGCTTTAATTTGTTTTATATTCTTTGAAATTTTTGCTACAGCAATTTGGTGTTAATAAATGGTGCACCTAAGGTTTAGTCTCTATGGTGCTCCACTCTGCCTTCCCTTTTCTTCTGGAACCATTGAGAAAAGAGTATGTGAGCGGGTGTGAGAGACTTACTGCCCAAATGCTCCACCGGAAGAATGTGGTAGAGCCAGATGTGAAATGGACCTCCGCTGAGGGAAGAATATGCAACTAAGAGTCACAGCACATATTGAAGAGGAATGGCTCTCTGACTTCATTCTGGATTCATAACATTGTGTTATCCCACATCCAAGTCATATGCCTGTCCAGAGTAGATGTCAAAATTGGCCTGTTATCATCTCTGATTTTTACTTAGCATCTTTGAAGAAGAAAGAATCCTTCATGGGGCTAATTGATCCCAGGCCTGAGAATTGGACATGGATTTCTATGGCCACTTCAAAAGAAAAATTTCAATATTTTAAATCAGGTATCATATAATGTTTCAACTGGAGCACACTCTTTCAGAATATCATAACAAAAGAGATAAGGTATGTTATTTGACTCCAAATGCACAGATAAGTTTGCCATGATAGTGAGAACAGTGTAGTAAGAGTTAATGCTATAAAAATCATAGTATTGTCTATTGTGAATAAATCCAATGAAACTTGTTCAGATAGTATGCAGGCAATACTAAAGAGACTGTTATGTAATAACCTAAGACCTGAGACACATAAAAACTTTATTAGCCATCACTGAAATAAAGTGAAAACAAATTTGTCTTAGAAAGATCCAAACCTCTTTAAGTTTTAGGTCTCCAGAGCCATAAAACAGTGCCTGACAAATTTTAAGTAATATTCTAATTAATCACTGGATTTTTATAGTTTCTAGAAAGCTGTAAGTTAGATATGAAAAAGGCAGAGTGAGACAAAATCTCCTCATACTGAGCGTGAGTCCTAAGTCCTTTGTATAAAAGCCTGCTTGGGCAGCCTAGCCAGACTTTTATACTAAGCAGCTGCTAGAAATGGAATGGACCATTAATCTGAAGAGTACTGTTATTTTCATATTGATTAAAGTGGGATGTACAATGTGCACAAAGTTCACAAACTGATGAAAAATTATTCCAGCTGTGCCTCTGTTTTATACAAGAAACACTGTGGGGCATTTCTAGATTTGTTTCTTTGGTAAAACTAATACTTTGTAATACACAAATAATATGACTGTCTTTAATACCATCACATACTCAGTAATTACCATGGAAAAGTATGACCCAACACTTTTGTATTTAAAAGTTTCTGATTTATATTTTTCAATTGGATGCAGTGATGGTATAAATAATCTTGGACAACTATATTCCTAATGGGGACTTCTTATCATAAAAGAAGGCAGCTTTTGTTGTGTCCACCATCAGGAACAGATATCTCCAAGGAGGAGCAGGAATTTACTTTTAAAGAATAAATTAAATTAAAAAATGCCTCTCACATTATTACTTCAATTATCTTTTCTAAAAATCACAAAAATCTCTTTGATAAACACTTTCACCTACCTCATAAAATAAGGGAACACTAACACCTCCAGGTTTTTTTGCTTTTTTAGATGAGGGAGCTCCAACAATTGTATTTATTTCATTGATCTGTAAGAAAATTAAATTTACTTACAATGAAAAAGAAGGGCTTACTTAAAGAATACTTAGATATATGTAATTTTCAAATATCTGGGTGACTTGAGGGGTTGGGGAAGCTAGGAAGAAATAGATACCCAACAATTAGGTAAAATATAGTCACTTTTGTCAGCTGTTAGTAATGATATGGATATGTGTCATCCAACAAGATCTTTTATATGCTATCACTCCTGTCCGACCTCTGACAACTATGATTCCCTGTAGCCTTCATTTTCCAGTTAGTCATGCACTCCCCTGGGATCTTAACTAGTCTAGTCTTTTATTATTATTAAGGCTTTTATTAAATAATCCCTCATAGGACCTGGCATGGTACCTGCCATGGCCTCAGAAATCTTTGTCAAATGAATGAATGTTAAATGGACAATAATAAACAAAAGTGAATTCTTCCAGATTAAACAATTCAAATTTATTCTAGCTATATATTTACTTAAAATAATCCACCAAAATTTACAAAACAGTCCAATAATATAGCATCTTTGTTTATTTTATAATTCTGTTATGTTAAGTAAAAAATTTTCAAGGGACTTTGAGGTGGGAAGGGACAGGTACCTGCTGAAGAATGTCTTGCCACAATACCATAGTGAAGAGTTTTCGCTGAGGGACCTGGACAGCAAGAGTGAGTGCGCGAATAAGAAGATCATCCTCAATCTGGTTCCCAACCACAAAAGCGATGGAGGCCTTCCAATCGTTCTATCATAAAATCAGAAGGAATTAGATTTCAAATATTCCTGGGTAGGTAATTTTGTGTCCAGCACTTCCACTGAAAAACAGGATAACTTTCCTGTAAACGTTCCCTTAAAGACAGGGTTGGACCTTGCAGTATATGTGGGTCTCTGATCAAAGTAGACGCAAGGCGGCAGTATTGTGCCAAATTTCATACAAATTGACCCAAAAACAATTTTCTTGAGAAACTAACCTTTTTATTTTAAAGGAGACAATTTGAAAAAGTGACACTTTCACTAGAATGCTGTCCAAGAGTAATCTGGTGTTGGAAAGCAATAGTTCATTCCTATGTCACAAATATACATTAAGATGTAGTCTCAAAAGCAGGAATCTTTATATTTCTTTCCCCTGGTACATCCTAAGACTCCAAATAGTGCGAGGAATATACAAGGAGCTGAAAAAATATTTGCTAAATTTTGGATAACATTGGATGAGTTGCCAAATGAGAACTGGAACACATCTTTTTCTCTTAATGTAACACAAGAATCCCATTACTAATTCACAAATCGGTCCTTTTCACTCCCAAGAAATAGGCTAAAATATTACACTTGGATGTTAAATTTGCATCAAATAACTTAAAGAAATAAGTTAATAAAGACAATAATTGCAATCATTAATTTATTTTACTCTGTTTACTGTAATTTCTTTTGGGAGAATAATAATTTCTTTTGGGAAATTAGGAGTGGAGCTCATTGAATTACTCACCATGAAGAAACTACACATGCAATCAGGACTTGTATCTCTGAACACTAGCAATCTTATAGGGAGATGGAATAGATAAACACAATAAAGATGTTAGAAAAGAGAGATAAGAGTCAGGAAGGGCACTCTAGACATGTGACTTCTCTGGGCCTTAGTTTCCCCATTTATGAAACAAATGACTTGGGCAGGGCACTATCTAAGCTTCCCTCTGTCTCCTCTTTAGAGGTCTGAGTCAAATACAGTAAAACTCTCTTTCAGTGGATGGCAAAACAATATCTAAGAAGATTTGAGAAGATCGCACAAATTTAATGAAATGCATAATTTTATGTGGTTCCTCTGGTTTCTGTTCAGTTTATAATCAGGTTGATGATAGAACTAAAGTAAAGGAAGAAGAAAAGACCTTAGTGCAAATTCTTTCTACCATTGAATAGCAATTGTCCTAACTTCTTATTTTCCTCCAGGAAATTTACTAACTACCTAGCAAGAGCCATAAAATTTTCAATGTTATTACCAAGACAAAAACACATGTAAGAGCAAAAAAAAAATGTAGATTTTACTTACAAAGTGTGTATGTATGCATGCAGATGGGTATGACTTTATGTGGTTTCTTCTGTTACAATGAATTGTTAATTCATCACAGAAAGATTGAGGATCTGTTTTTTAAACGTTCTGATTCTAAAACATAGGTATGATATTTATAATGTATTATTTAGGAAAAAATTCCATTATCACAAAATTACCTTTCCTGCATTAGATACCTTCCCCTTTACTCTTGTCTGTACCCTCAGTCAAAGCTGCTACTATAGTGATCATTAAAGGGTGAAAATCTCTTACATTCTCACAATAAAGTACACATGGTTCCTGGATAGGCAATACCTTTAAGTTCCTGGCAGTTACACTTCCCAACACCGAAGATTTTAATGACTGTATCTACCTCCTTATCCCACTTCCCACTGAACGTTTCCTTGCAATATTTGAAAGCTAATGGTGACAAGAAAAGTCTGCCTCTCAATTGTCTCTCTTTTGGAGACAATTGAGAAAGAGGGCATTGTAGTCCATCACCTACCTGCCCATTAGTATCTGGTGTCTTAGTATCTTAGTATCATATATCCCCAAGGTCACCCTGAGAGAGTTCACCTGGGCTATAGCAGTTCTAGATTTGTCCAGCACTCTCTCTACAAGAGCTGGGGATCCAGGCCACATCCTCCATTTGAAGGGGTCTTAAGAGTCCAGCTTGGGTACAATTTCCCAAGTATACTCTCTCATTCACAAAATACTTGCTCTAGAAATTGGATCTATTTGGCAAAATAGAACTCATGAAGAACTTTGTTAGAGTTATGGTTTAGTGTCTAATCACATAGCCAGAACCTGAGTAAGCATGAAATGGATGAGCAAGATAGTAATAATACAAACGGAGAATGCCTGCAGAAAGGATGCACTCACTGTGGGCTGCAGCAGGGGGCAGCGGGACGCTAGGAAATGCACCATATTCAATGAAGAGCAAGTCATTTCCCCATATCTAATTGGAAAGAATAGTTAAATAAGTGACACTCTGCAAATATAATTTCTGAATATTTCTCTTAGTATTTTAGGGTAACCACAGATTCCAAATTTCTACCAACTGGAAACAGTTTTAGAAATAGAAAATTGCTTTAGGAAAAATCAGACACAAATTAGATTCAGCAAAATACTATTAAAAACACTACTTGACCCATATCCCACCCTAACATGCAGTTAAACAAAGTCCTTAAATTGAAGTTCACAGGAAAGCAAGAGAAATTTAGTATATAGAGAAAACAAGCATTGACCATGGGGAGAAATGAAAGTATAATGTGTGCAACTCAATTAACCATGTGTCCAGTAATGTTCCTACCTGTGGGTAAATTTTTTAAGATCATTCAAGAAGTTTGGGTGTAATTAGTAGCATGAATTGAGAAAACATCAATTATTTTAGAAAAACTACATTGGATGTATCCAATGGTGAAGGAAGAGAGTTTTGGTCTGTCAAACCTCAAATACCTTAGGAAATAAAGTCAGCTCTCTATGACCTGGAAGCATATATTGTACATGATTATTGCAGAGTCTTGCCCCTAAGTAGTTATTGATAAAGTCATTCAAAGGATGGAATGAAGTCATATATGGACACAATCTATTACCTTTTATTTACTTTACCAGTCTCACCTAATTTGAAGCCTGGCAGGAGGTCGTCTTATCCCAGACACTTACATACTAATCTAAGCCAAGTGAGTATTCATATAAATGCAGAGAACCTGGCTGTCTCACATAAGCCTACTGTCTCAGAGACACAGGGTAGATTTACAACTATTTTTTATTTCATACATTGCAAATTCTCCAAATTTTATTTAGGCATTACATAGTCTAATATAATTATAAAAACCCTTTCAAAAACAAGTGACAAGTGGCTTTTGGATGATCAAATTGTGATTGTTTCTTTTTATTAGCATAAATAATTGGCCAATATGGGGAAAGACAAGGGCAGGACATGCATGCCTTCTTCCGCTGCCTTTACTAGTGTGTTATGAGGCCTGTGGCCCTGAAAGACCTAAAATGAAATTTCCACAGTCCCCTACTCAGAACTGATCAGAGCCTGACAAGCTCTATGAACCAGTAGTGGTCAGCACTTTTATTAGGAGAAGATGTATAAAACCCTCAAGTAAAATCAGTGCAACATTTAAAAAGTCAGGTTTTATTAAGAGCTATTTAACACTGTACAGATATGCAAACCTGTACTTTATGTCAATACTCTGTTGAAAGGATAACCTTTTTGTTAAGTAAATTTACTGCCAAATGGACAGGGATTTGTGAATGTCTTTCTCATACCAGATTTTTCCTTCAAAAGGAGTCTTGGATCTCCATCAGCAAAGGAGTGTTAGTATGGGCTTTTGGCCAGCAGAAGAAATGTTTTTATTACATAAAACTGGCTGCTACAATCATATTTGTTAAAAATGGATTCTAACCATAAAGTAAGTTGAAAACATTGGTTAAAAAGGGTATACACTGTATGTTAAACAAGAACAATATAAACAACCAGGATATGCACTTACTCATCTCTCTTTACTATCTTTGCTAAATAAGTACTTATTGTTATAGACTCTTCTCTAATTATATATCCCTTATAATGCTATAGTTTGACTTATCATCATACTGTTAAAGTAATCCTTACTTAGGAATTCTTTCATGTGGATGTCATGTTTTCTCAACTAGATTGTAAACTCCTTAGGTCAGAAATGATGTTTATATGCTTTTGCACCTTGTGGTGCCTGGTAGTGAATAGGAAACATAAATATACATTGACAGATATTTTAAAGCGACAGAGAGTACTTGGGCACTGAAAGGATCTTGACTTTTGAATTATAAAGTGCTAGAATGTAGCATATGTCAGTAAACTGCAGGGTATACAGTCAATAGCCCTGAAGTCCTTTAGGAGGAGAACGCACTATAGCTGATCTAACATGATTCATATTAGGGATCGGTAACAATGGTTTAGGGAATTTGGCCTTGCAGCCATTCCTCTGCCATCTTAAGAGCTTGATTTACATCAGAAAAATGTCAGGATGGGGTGAAGAGAGAAGGAAGACAGAGTGAAGCAGCATATAATATGAGTTGTCATGGTCCAGTATCTGGGAGAGGGTTGTCACCCTGACACTTGCCTTCTGCAGCACCACCACTGCCTGAGCCACCCTCATCTTTTGACCTCCTCCAAGGGTGTGTTGGGGCTGATTGCCCACCACCATTTCCAGCTCTCTTCAGTGAGGTTGTCTTAATAACTTGAAATATGCTATGGTGGAAGTATTCAAACTATGGCAATGGCAAGCACTACAAATCAGAGCTTTCCACATGGAGAACAGGTTATTAAGCATTTACTGGCATACTGCAGCTTCTATCCCAGGAAGACCTGCATGTGTAAGACTGACTTGCAGATGATTTTGATTGTGAAGGCCAAGGCTGTCTCTTAAAAAATACTGAGGAAGGCAAAGCAGATTCTCTCCGTCTACTGCACACAAATCCCACCCTTCCCTAAATACATACTCTGTAGTAGTACACTGTATGAATTGATAATTGTCTGCTGATGTTGCTTCAGGTGTAACCCAGCCTTAAATACTATCCTTCAAAATGGGCTCTATGAAAAGCAGGTGACAAAGTAACTCCAGGGCTCTCATTTCTTCCTGACCATTCCTCTATTTCCCACTCAGGCACCTGAACACTGGGACCATTGCCCTGGGAAGTCCCCAAGAATGCCCTTC